AAAATGCTCTGATCATAAACTTCGATGCCCGATGTATGCTTTTGGAAGCAAATTGGATCTAGTTGGTACTTTTAGGAGGTCGAAATTGAAAATGCTCAGTGATTTTTAAAATAATTGGAGAAAAAAAAATTAAAATTTATTAAAATTGTTTGGTAACCAGATTGGTTATACCGTCCTCACTTGAATTGTATTTGATTAATTAAAATTTTTTTTTCTACAAATGTCAATAAAAAAATATTTATCCGGTAAAAAGCTTAAAAATGTAATGCGTAAGTTTTTATTATAGCTTAAATATTAACGATACTACATATAGGCATCAGGGTTATTTTTTATAAGCATTTAAAGTTCAAATTTCGTCAAAACCTCAGTTAATTTTTAGTTCAAAACTTATAAAATATTAAATGTGTATAGCTATAATAGGGCTAGACAATTTAAAACAAGGTCTTTCATACAAGTAGTTTATACTTTTACAGAGAAATTACAGATAATTTTGGTATGCAAATACAATGTTTTTTCAAAAATGAATTCATTCTGGTAAGACATATATGAAATTTACGCCTTGCTTACTATAGTTGACAGTTGAAACTTGATAAATATATTTTCATTATTTTAATTAAGAATAATACGGGCAATGGGGAGGGGCTTCAGCCCGTTAGCCCCCCCCCCCCCGAGGACGCCACTGCCTATATAATATATATATTTAATCGCATACTCTGAAACGGAATACCTACTTTTCTAAACAATCTGATGTAGGTAGTAGGTACTTATGTAGAAAATATTATCTAGACTCATGAACAAATATAGTAATAGATAGTTATATTTTTATCATACTTATACAAGCTTGCTAAACACGTTTACAGACGAATACAAATATATATTTTCTAAATTGTATTAACATATAAACCTCATAACGCTTCATTACGTTACCTATAAAAAAAATAGCAACATACCTATATTGTGATTAATATATTAAATAAATACCAAGTTAATTAGGTACTCATTTATATTCTGCTTTTAATTTTTTTTCTATTCACTCTTCAGAAAGATGAGGGAAATTTCCAAATGACTTGTGGATATAAAAGTCCATCAAACGATTATCGACAGCAACATCTATAATTAATAATCACTGTAGGTGCATATTAATTATAATATACCAACAAGTCGTAGACAAGAATTGCACTGTCAATTTATATAGCATACCTAGTTTATTATAATTTGATTATACGTTTACTCGCAATAATGATATACTATGTTTGCTATTCACGCACAAAGTTTATTATAGGTATATACATTTATAAGTAGGTGACTGAAGAAAATCTTAAGTATTTATACCGATTATTTGGGGGGAAGTAATCACTCATAAGTTCTATGTAATCTTCTTAGAGGTCAGTTACATTTTATTAAAAAAAAAAAAAAAAAACTATTTTATCTCAAGTATAATATAAGGCGGTAGGTGCAGGCGTACAGCGTACAGACGTCAAGCAAGTGAATATACAGAAAAGATTATGTATTTATAAAGCCGATGCGGTTAGATTCTCCCACCAATCATGTCAGCACTTATGTGCTCGTGTGTGTGCGTTTAATTATTAAATAAATTATTGGAATTATTCGCATCATCCTGAACATATATAATCATGAGCCCACCTTATAACTGTCACAGCTGTAATAGCTATAGAAGCTGCCGACGGGGTAATTTAACAGTCGAATAAAGAATTTAAGATGAGTGCGTATACGTCAGCATCCCGTCAACGTAAACCTTCCTAAGTCGGTTATTACCACCCCACATCCTCTCCAGTCTCGCCGCACAGTACACACACACACACACACACACACACACACACACACACACACACACACACACACACACACACACACACACACACACCCACACACACACACACACACGCACACACATTCACGCTCGTGTATTGAGATACGAGTGCAAATGTGCAATACACTGTAGTTATAGGTACGTCTTACATTTAATATAAATTATTATAATTCGTACATTCTTCGTTATATCCGTACTATAGGTAGGTACAGCAATTCTGTTGGCCAACAGAAGTAATGATTGCTGTCGAGACTCGAATTTATTGACTCTTTCAAGCTCTTCTATAATGGAATTTAAAATGTCAAAAAAGAATAACATAATAATAGGTATATACATATATATAGGTATTATAACAAAATAGTGTAGGTATATAGAAGGTAAAAAGTATGTATCGTCCGCTCTTACAGTATATTGTCAAATCTGTTATAATCATCTCGGAACCCCGTTATTGTGCATGAAAGCAAAATGGGTGATGTGCAAGATTGCTTCCGTACACAGCTCTTCGTTATATCCGCACAGCTGATGGCTAAAAGCAGTGGCATAACCAACGGGGTGGCACAACATAACCAACATTTTGGGTGTTAAAACCCCCGGGATATAAACACCCACCTCCGTATATATACCGTCCGTATTTGGATATGTACCTACGGATATGATTAAGATTTCTACAAAATATATTGTCGTATATATAGGTAGTTCTATTTCATATATTATTTTTAATTATTAATGAGCCTCCCATATATGCCATATTAAATATAAAATTAAAACACCCCCCTAAAATAATTCCAGGCTACGCGCCTCACTAATAAATAATAACCTATAGCAATGTATTACCAGACGAGCTTGTTGATTCTTCCGAGCTTCTCTATAATCGTATTTAAAATTTCAATGAAAAAAAAATCCACGAGAATGTGATATAATGCGTTATTCTAGATGCATACAGTACACTTATTGTTATCAATTGAAAATAATATAATACTCACTATGCTCGTAAGGTCTGCTTCTTCGTTTATTTCATCGTCGCTGCACTGTGCAGAATGCATGGTATATTATTTTTTTTTATGATATTCCACTTCTGCAGTCTGTTATTATACTTATTGTGATACCTCATCATCGGCATAATGTGCAGCGGGATCACATATAACTCCGCGTTGTAAGTACCGTTTTGGCGATATTACCGGTTAACTATATAAAAAACACTTTTAAAATAATTTCTGACCAGTTTACGTATACATACCTAAATATATCATGATAATATCATACACGGAATTCTATTCCGTTTACAGGTTTAAAATCAATTTGTGGATTGACTTCGACTTTTCAACTCTTGATAATATATTATTATGTACCTAGTACATAATATATGTACCTATATTTATCATTTTGATTAGGTTTCCTAATATAGGTACCGCGTATATATTAGATGATGCTAATTACTAGTTAACTAGTTACTCATTTTTTTAAACTTCAGAGACGCAAAGTGTGCAAAATTAAATAAAACTAAAGTAAAAAAAAATTAATAACACGTTCGAGTGTCATACTTCGCGTATGTACCACGAGTAATCCGTCATCAAACCGTTCAAGATGCGCACGCGTTGGATTTGTTCCGGATTGGCCTTATTTAAATCAATTGCCGTCTCAACAACTATAGACCTTTTCGTTTTCGCTATCAGTGAAGTTAGGCGACAGCGTGCCATGAGTATTTTCTGCAGAATAACATTAATACAATATAGACAACTGCATGTATTATACATCTATAGGCACTTGATTATTATATTATAATACAATAGATAAATGATAATTAAGAACATAATAATAATATAGTTAACGAACAAGATGAAAACTCCACAAACGTTATGTTGGACATTTGAAAAAATAGAGTAATACCCCAATCTGTCCTATCTACTATATAAAATTGACCGATTTAGGTAAAACGAGATTACATTACAATGAAAATATGTATCTATAACAAAACTTGAATTTAAAATAACTCAAAATTAGACTACGATTTGAACCTGATTCGCAAGTCAATAATATTATATTATTACATAGGTACATGTATAGAAGTTATAATACAAATTATCAATGTTGACTTTCCGTTACAATCAGATATTAAATTGCGTCAATGTTGTAAAGATAACTGATAAATACTTGAACGTTATGTATGGTTTTTTTTTAAATTTTAAATTATGCCTAAAACAGCGAGATATGAAGCATCAGTAAAATCGAATTGGTAAGATCGAATATTTTCGTATTAAACACAAATAGAACATTTTATACTTTAATATTAAATAACGAAAACTTGTAATGAGGTACGTTAAATAATATTGAATAATTACTACAGAATTCAAAAATTGTGTGTTCACTCATTAGTCATTAGGTACCTATATAGCTATTTAAATTATATTTTCTTGTTTCAGTGTAATTGGACAACCACAACTTCATAATTTAAATTGGTTTTCTGCATGTCTTTGAAACGAGAGTGACATTTAATTTACCTCAAACTAAATAAAATATTTATTCTTATAAAATATTATTATTTAATTATTTAACCGGGAAACCTAACCTAACCACGAATGGCACAAATTACGCTGGTTGCCTTAACACAGTTATTCACAAGGACATTATTAAATACCAATCACACTAATTAAACTTTTAAAATTAATACAAATACAACTGTATAATATTAAATAATTACATTCCAAATTATACATTGATATATTAGATATTATACATTCGAGTTTTACGCACTTATAACAAAATTGAATAGTAAAAATATTATAATATATAGTATACACCTTATTATTACTACTTATCGTTATCTCGTTTAATTTATAACGAGAAGTTTTAATATAATCTATGTAATAGGTACCTATGTCCGTACAATAATTTTTAATCAATATTATCGAGTATTTACAATAATTAGCTCTCACTAATAAAATAACATATAGGTATGAAGAGAAACATATTATGTTTATCTAATTAATATAGTCACTACCTAACCAATAGTCTATACTTTGGTTTGGGCAATCGATCTTCATCAAAATCATAGGTAGTGCTGTTAGTTTTTACATTGAAAATGCATGTGCACGATTACGGTGCACTATTAAAACAATGTTCACTTTAATTCACAGGAGCAAAATATGTTTTGCCCTTCGCTTTGTTGAAATCATTGTTTTGCACGTAGAGCTTCTGAAGGATTCACGATTACTAAAGATTTACTGGAAGCTTCGCCTGCGATCTGTAACAGTAAAAAATTCGTTTTTAATAATATTTCAAGTCCTTGACTTATAACGTGGTGTCATATATATTATATTGTTCTATGATATATATTATGTACTCTTATGATCGTGAAACCATGTCAACAAGTTTTATGATTGAAACTCATTTTTACCACTATTTCATATCTTCACTCATTCGTATATATTATAAGAGTTTTAAAAGTTTCTTTTTTACATACAATAAGTATATCGTATCATGAATTCATGAATATAGTGTACTTGAAGTCTTTGCAGGTGTTGCTAACGAAAAACGTAATATAGGTTAAAACAAAAAAAGGGAAGAATAAACTTTTATTATAATAAAAGTAATAACGGGACTCGTGACAAACAACAACTTCAACTCGCCGTATGTTACCCTATTTGCACCTGTTGAACGCCCGTCTAAACCTTACTCGATGGGTTTTTTCTTTGTCCGCTTTAGTTATTCCACCTGTTATCTGCTTAAGTTAGTAGATATAATATTATGTGTATACTTTTGAATATTTCCACTTGACTCACTTAAACTATATACAGATACAGTATATTATGTAGTTACCATGGTATTGGAGGTATAGTATACGTACTTATAAAATATTCACAATATTTACGTCAATGAACTTAATGGACATAATATGGATACACACATGTTCCATAAACTTTATGTATCAGTATAATGAGCAGCTTAACCAATATTTTATGTCATTATTATTGTGTGCAATATATAATTTATGAATATGATTTAAATGCGGGGAAGTAGAGTAGGCAATGCATACACCGTATTTTATTAGGCATTAATTTCAATAGTGTATACAAAATAATATACGTAGGTACCTACTTAAATATATTTTTATCTATAAACGTTTTAAACTTTTATTTTCAAATACGTAATATAATTATATACAAGTATTTATTTATTTTGTGGATAAAATTATTAATTATGTTCACCCGTGCGTATGGAATATGGATATAAAAGTAGGTATATAGTAATACTTTTGCATATATAATAGTTTACCTCCAAACGGCAATACACCAATGTGGTTATATTTCTAATTCCTATACCTAACTTTATATAACTTCGAGCAGTGATGTATGACAATATTACCTATATAGACGAACGATTAATGTTTCGTCATTACCGAGGTCATTACTGTTTGTTATTGTCAAACTTTTGGTCTGAAAATGGCGATACATGATATTATAACCTATGTCTATACGATGGAATTAAATTATTCGTAAATGAACTGTACGAAATTTATGTTATGATTAAGTTATATGTGTGTACTGTGTGTGTGTGTGTGTGTGTGTGTGTATAATGTGTTATTTCACGAGTTGACCTTTTTTCTCACATTACAAATTAATTTATTATAGATTTTACCAGTGGGCATATTACACAAGATAGCCTTTTTGTACTAAGTTCTGACCGCACAAATAACGTGTAGGTAATAGAGTATAAAATCGAATTATATAATTATATAGAATATATTGATTAATATATTAAAAATATGTTTATACTTGTTTTGATAATGTAAGGTCGCAAAATTGTTGACTAGATTATTAAAGTATTATTTTCACAGCTAAACTGTTCGTGGTTCACTGTGGTTGTATTAATGGACGTTCGTTAAATAAAACAAATATTAACATTTAACGGTATAAGATTAATCTTTAAAGTAAGTTTAAGATTCAAAATCACAACTATATAACCATGATATGCACTTATCCGTCAAAGTGAGTTATATGTTTGTCATTTAAATTAACAAAAGCCAATGAATATTAAATAACATCCTATAAAACATAAGAAATTATTTTTTTTCTCATTTTCATTTATATTAGGTACCTACAAACTTTATAAGGCTACTTAATATTTCATGTTTATCTTATAAGTCTAATATGAGTATATGATATTAGATATAGGTATAGCCGTATAGGTATAGGTACAAATTAAAATTCACCCATCCTGTATTTGTATATTATCATTTCACTTGGTATACAATATTTAACTTAATTAGATTTTTGAGTTTCATCCACATTAACTTACTATTCTGATTCCTGCACCATACGTATATTATACTATAGTAAAATTATCATGGTCTATGACATATTAATAAAGTCATTGACTCGTAAATTAAAATTGTAAAAAGTATTCGGTTCGAAATGTTTTTGAGTTTGCTCACAATAGGGCATTATAGTATAGTACTATTGCATCAACGGAAAATCAATATCGTTAAAAAAAATAATATAATAACAACTACAATTGAACGACGTTTTGAATAACATTGTTAATATTAAACTATTTGAATAATTACTTCGGTGGCGTCATGTGCAACCTACGAGCTACGTAGGTATATAGTTCCTTGATATTATACAGCGAGTGATACTTTCAACAGTAAACGCCCATTATCCCGAACGTTTATAAAAATAATTTTTTTTACATAATTTGAATTTATTACAAAATAATATTTATGAAATTTTTTTTTTTATGGTTATCATATTTTAAGATTTTACTTTTTTTAAGACAATTATATCTTTATTTGAAATTTCAAAGGTAAAAAAAATACAACTAATATGAATATTATATAGGTATATAGTACAATACTATACATTTATAAAATATAAAACTACAAATTATAAATTATAATCGATAAACCATAATTATTTTTATTTGATAGTTTTGACTTTTAAGTACGATACTAATATATTATATGTGGCCTGGTGTCCCACGGTGGTTGGCTTCAGTCACAAACGTGATCTGAGGTCAAGCATCAGTCAAACATCAGCATTAGTTCCCAGATGAGTAACCACCGGCACCCGGGTCTTAGTGACAAATCCTCGCCTCATATACACGTATTCTAACCAACCGTACCCTTACCCACAAGCTTAAAAACCTATACTATATAAACTTCAAGCTAAAATGACCATAGATTCTGAAGCCATTACTCAATAAAAAAAAAAAATATATAGATATATATTTTGTGCACTCTATTGTCTCTATTCCGATTGTACCTATATACATTAAATACTTTTTAAGGAAAAGAAACTGTTCACTAATAAGACAGGTAATCGACATTAATTTATAGATACAAATTTAAATAAGTATTCAGATATAGATAGTGAAATATAAAATATGTACATATTGCCAATAAAAAAAATCGAATAAATCACCATCATTAGAAATTAGTTATAATCCAAATCACAAAAATTGAGCTGGATAATGATGATGATGATGAATAGTGAGTATTCTCTATATTAACTGCTATGAAAAGAATAATCCCAAATACCTGAATATTAAACTTTAAGTGCACGAGAACATTTCGACCGTCATTCGGCGTAGGTAGGTACCTATATACATACGTCAACTTCAGTTTATAATATATTATATAGTCATCAGCTGTATAACTCGACAGTATAACATGTCACGCTGTATTGTACTATTGTGTATTATATATTTATTTTATATTGCAACATACATACCTCCTAGGTACCTACTGACCAACTCATCATACTTATATAATATTATACATGTCATGTAGATATCATCGTTATAGTTACAAATTATTTTCAATTACCTAACACACGTACGATAAAGACCATTATGGATGTAGCCTGTTAGATATAGCATTGAGTATATACTATATACATTATAATCTCATTGTAGGTGGTGACAAAAATATAAGCTCACCACAATGTCCGCGTCGTTCTGCAATCGGTTCACCGCCGTCGCCTCGCCAGTCTTGTACGAACCCCGTCCCAGGCTGTCGATCAGGTCCCGTCCGCGGGGTCCGTGTTTTTCCTCGAAAGACTTCCGGAATTTGGCCCCGTCGCTGGGCTTGAACGCTATGTGACGCATGATCGGATTTACTGCCGGTTGTCCGTAAGCCCTGGCCATGAGGAAACCGAACGGCGTTAGCCCTTCGGCCGGAACGGCTTCTGTACCGCTCCGCGACAACATCAACACGGCGACCGCCGTCTGCAGCAATGTCTACAGAGTGATTCAGTGATATATATATAAATATTACAATCATATAGGCTACGGCTACCTAATAGGGTAGGTATATGGAAGGCATAATAGTGATGAATAAACGGTGTCCGTGCAGTTACACTGCACGTAAGCAATATGCCAATATAGTCGACCAAAGCATGACGAAGAATTTGAGCAGAAAGGACATGGGCGAACATTTAACGTGTTTTCGGACACTTTTGAGTGGTAATAGAGCTAATAGGAAACAAAGCACTCTTAAATCCTCCCCAAATCATATGATTATGACGTCACTCATCGTATTATATTATTTTTGACTCTACACCATTTTTTACAGCAAGCAATCTTATATTGTGAACTTTTAGATTCTTATAACGCTCCGATGAACGTACATTGATTTAACAATAGAGTGTTTTTTTTATGAAAGAACAGTAAAAATCTTCAACTTTGAGAGTGGCTTCTGGTAGGCGGTACCAAATTAGAACTTCTCACTACGCTTTATGGTGAAGAGAGGGTCAAAAGTAAAAAAGGTGCTCTGCTGTACAGTAGGTTACAAGTGGGTCACTGTGTAATGGATGGTATTAAATTTGAATTCAATGATTTAAAATTACTGTATAAGAAAAACTATTGTGAGCGGAGACGGTATGTCAGTCTAGGTATAAGACATATAATATACATATCTATGGTATTAAAAAAAAAATTGACGTATATAATAAATTCCAAATTAATCATATCACATTATCACAATATCCATTAGGTACTATTATAACGCGTTATACATCAACAACAAACCCTGATGGCTGATACTATCACAGAGATATAATAGTGTACTTTAGAAGTTTCAAGTACCCACGAATAATATTATACAATCACAACAAAATAACTAAAATAGGTATTCTAGGTTTTTTAATATGTAATTTCGTCCAAATTTGAACTTAAAATTACTTTAAAAATAAACTGTGTTTATGTATTTTTTAGATTTTTTTGGTAACAGTATTAACTATTTACGTGGAATCTTGTTTTAAATTTTAAATTATTAGATATAAAAGTTGAAAATTTTAAAAAATTTTAACTACAAAATAATTATTCAATTTTAAATTTGATAAATTTTGTCAAAATTCGATCTTTAAATGCTTATAAAAAAAAATTATGACTAAGGATTTTTAATATTTTTCATCTGCCTTTGAAACAATATACTAGGAGCCCTCTATTATTTTCAAGCTTTTTTAACCAACAAATAAAATTTTATTGATATTTCTAGAATAAAAAACTAAAATAATTGGAAACTGAAAATGTCCTTAAACAGCTCAAAATAAGTCAAAATATTTTTAAAAAGGCATGGTGTATAGAAAATATTAATAAAAACAGTCAGTAAAAACAGTCAGTAAAAATTGCACATATCTAAGGTCATTTGTTTTAGAGTTACACCACTTACACCATAAACCAAAATCGATTTTCTTGAAAACAGATTTTGAGTAAAAATTTCCGTTTTTCCTTAATTTTTCTTTTCTTTTTAGAGTCGCTTTTGAAAACTACTGAGAAATGTTGACCCCAAAAGTACCAACTAGATTCACTTTCCTATCAGAAAAGATACTGTTGAAGAAAATCCAAGCACTTTTACTGTCCTAAAAGGTGATGACAGACACAAAAAAAAATAAAAAAACACACATCATTGTAACATCAATACTTTCATCGTTCCACTCAGAATCTAAAATTCCCTGTAAGTACTTTTCGGATATGGTGGAAAACAAACAAAGCTGAGGAAAAAACGGGAATTATTACAGCAAACCAGTTTTTGACAAAATCAATTTTACTTTTTTTTGTTATAAAAAAAAAGAGAGACTTGAATTGCACACCAAATATTTAAATTACAATTGTCAATTTTGTAGACATGATATAAATTTTAAAATGGTTTCACTGTATTTGTGCTATTTATAGATATTTAAACTTTTGTTTTTTTTTTTTAAATTTAAGATAAAAATTATTAGTGTAAATAAAAAGCTTAACATTTAATTCAAGATTCTTGATGAGTTGTTATTACAACAGTTAAAAAGTATCGAGAGTATAATTATATATAATCACAATTTTTTTTTTTATAATAGCGTTTAAAGATCATATCTCTACGAAATTCATAAAATCTTGAATTTTAATAATTAAGGCTTGATATTTGATACAACTGTACAAGGTTCCTCATAAGTTATTTATATAATATAGAAACATCAAAATCTCAAAAATATAATAGGAGTATATATTTTCGAAACCTTGTGTAGTATAGAAAAACTATAAAATATATATAGAATCTACATAGAATCTATATACAGCAAAACGAAATTTTTAATATTTTAATTGTATATTTGTATGCACATAAAATATTTCCATTAAATTAGGTAACTACAACGAATTTGCAAAAAAATGATCATACAATAACAAAATAAAAGCTCATTTTGTATTGTTTAAAAACAATAACCCTATCAAGACTTAAATCGTTGTTAATTAATTTATTATTCCAGCAGATATTTTATTATAAGGTAAAAACAATTTTTTTAAAAATAATTCATGCTTTTTTTCAAGGAATTCAATTTATTTTGAAAAATTAAGAAATTTACAACAATAAAACGTGATACAACGTTATCAAACTTTAAAAATTCTATCATATGATATATTTTAGCCAATAATTAGTCAAATTATGTTTAAATTAATTTACTACGACTGTATACCTAGTTCATATAATTTATAATCAAATATCAACCTAGGTCGATGGATAGATGAAAATTTTATTTTTTTGTATAGTAATAAAATAACTAATACCTAGGCTATTAATAACCTTTTAAATACCTATAGTATTATTTTTACATTATTACGTATTGTTAATAAATACTATAGGTACTATTATGTCTGTAACGGAAAACGTGTACTATGGGAGTAAGTTTATTTTATTTTTAGGCAAATATTAAAATTATAAATAATAATAATATATAATTTATTATAAATATCCAGCTTACCGTTAATATACTTGAGATCTGCATGGTTACTGATGTGGACAGAAGATCGCACTGGACCGGTGTGCAGGAATCGTAAAAAGTATATTTCCTACACCTTCCGGTTCCCGTGTAGCTTGCTATACTAATATGATAACCATAATATTAAACTTCAGTGAAAGTGGTTTAAATTTCTCTCTCCGTATTTTCTTTTCTTCCTCATAACATCATCAACATCATGCTCGTTAACGGTATTATAAATCGTTTACGCAACCATGTTTAGTAGTATACTTTTAACGCAAGCGATTAATTATTACAATAATAACAGTCTCGCACGTATTATAATGCAACATAAAACATACAATACAAAATATATAATATATATTATACCGGCCATTATTATAATATTTTATAATAATTAAGCGTCGTATGTGCACAACGATAAACTCTATGACGTGAAACGAAAAATACATAATAATAATAACACTGTATAATAACAAACTATACTACCTTAACTACTTTAGGCGTTTCATTTTTATTTGTATGATTCCTCTCTACCTTATACAGCGATCGTAGGTGTTTTCGAAAAACGAGACGTATTCTTTAGACGGCTAACGTCGCACATCTTGGATATACTTACGCAACATACCATATTACGTATAAAATAAATTCTAATATATAATTTTAAATTAAACGATTATTTTTATTGTACTGCAAGATATCTTATCTTCATCTGAAAACCAAACAATAAAATATGTTCGGTTTGTACTACTTTACAGTCCGCTGAATGCTGATACTCATAGATCTTGAACAACTATCTTGTGATTCTCGATTCATTGTGTTGAAAACTTCTTAAAAAGTTATGAAATCCTAAAGCTTTAAAAATGCGAATATCCAAAATATGCAAAATAAAATGTTGTATACAGTAACGTTAATTTAGAAAAAAAATATTGGCATAAACAAGCCATTTTTTACCAACCAATAAACATATAAAAATGGGTACAACGTCGCCACGTCGGCCGTAGTAATAAGTATTAACAATAGTATAATAAAATGTATTATTTTATTTATAATTCCAAAGTCGGCGTTTCGGGTATGCAATTTCGGTACACCAGTGCGTCAGTTGGGGGTTGTTTCGAATGATGGCGATGACAGGGCGAGCTGTAATTCCTATACAACGACAACAGAACACGTCTTTCCTTTAAATTCGAAATTTTAGCACCGCTTTTCATTGTTCAAAATTCACCATAACGTCCTTTAATCGATTGTTGACGTCTTTCAAACTGTTAAAATCGTTTGTAGAAACAATCACCTTCTTCAAAAGTAGAAATAGTTGTTAGTAGCGGGTACCTTTTAACTTTCGTACGACCATATAAAAATTGTTTACACAAATCTTTGGTTACGTCTCACCTATATAATGTATAAGCTATAATCACACGCAGCTTTTCGAAAATGTACCTACTATGCTGTCTACTATACTCTATATAGTCTATACTAAATAATAATATTATGAATGTGATTAAAAACTTATATTTTTGAAATATTATACCAGGGGCGTATACAAGGGGGGGATGTGGGGGTCGGATCCCCCCCAAAGGCCTTTTTTTTAATTTTATAAAATAGTGTTCTTAATGACTTAATGTAAGGAAATTACAAGGAAAAAAAATGTCAAGGATTTTTTGTAAATTTTTATTTTAACACAATATTCAACAATTAATTAAAAATAATTTACTTAATATTAATCAGTGATCATATATTTATTGCATATTCATATAATCGTATTATGTGATATTTGATAAGAATAATAATATGTGGCAGACCAGCCACGGGCCGTCGCCACCGTCACCGATATCAACGCGGCGGAGACGACGCCCGCATGTCCGTGCATATAATAATACATTTTCCTATACATTAGAAAAAGAAATATTATTATGGTATAATATAAGGTTATTGCACGATGGTTTTTACGCATTTATACCAAAACATTATCAATTTTGTATATTATCAATTAACATGGATATACCTACAACCACGGTTTAAGATAGACAGGTTGCGCATCGACGTATGTTAAGCTTACTGACCAAGTGACTATGCAATGTACTAACATAAACTGACTGACAGTAAGTGCCATCTAGCGTTGACGCCTATAAGTTTTACTAAATCATGCTAAAACAGTAATTTTATTTTGCAATGATTTTAATTATGACTATTGTTAACTTATTTTTAATCTCAAACCTCAATATTATTCACTGAGTGTCTCTTCCACTTTAGGTCTTTGCACATTGTCAACCATTTGCTATTCTACGAACTACAATATTAACGTTGTTTAATTTTATTACATACTAACTAGGTACATATTTACAACACATTTTTATAGGAAATCTTTTTTAAAATAAATCAACCAAATAAATTCGTTATATATTATATTAATTTAATTAGATACTTAAATAGTAAATTACAACTAACACAAAAAGAATAAACATGACATATGCAATTTAAATTAGTTGGATAAGTAAGTGATTAAGAATTTATAATAATAATAATACTTGTGAAATACTGAAATCTTAAAAATATATTTAATTAATTAATCCTCTAATATCAAGAAATAATAATACCAATCTAAAAGTTAAACTTCTAATTTACAAAACTATCTATCTTAAACCGTGCCTACAACATACTAGCTAATAGCTATCAGTAATTTGTTCATTGAAAGCTAAAAATAGCTTAAATAATAAATATTATTGACTAAAAAAAAAAAGGAAAATTAAATTGTTTTTATAATTACTTGTAGATTTAAATAATGTATTGAATATATATATATGTTTTATCATGTATAGGTATTTAAATGAGCACAGACCTAGGTTTAGGTATTTCGTTCCATAATAATTTGTTTTCAACTGATCCCCCCCATACAAAAGTTATGTATACGCCACGTATATACATATTAATATAATATTATTATAATACACCTATATTATATAGTAGGTCACTTACATAAAAAAAATATTAGATAGAAAATGAAAGTAGGCAGTGGGTACGTATGAATAATTTAAAACGAGACAAAAAAGGATATTTCACTTTTTTATACGCAATCTAAAACATAAGTATTGTTATGTCACTAAAATAAACCGAAATTTAAAAGATTCAAATTAGGTGCTTATACTACCTGTTAATAAAATGTAGAGGGGGGACATATAGTAACTATGCGCAATAATGCAATTGATGGTCCTATTTAAGTTGTTAGCGAATATCCCGGTATAAGTTTTTAAAGAGTATTATCTTAAAGATTTTCTCCTATTACATTGTTATGACTGTAAACACACAGCATTACAGTACGACCAGTACGTCATCATCACTTCCGTACACATTTATAGAGACTTCGAGACACAAAACCGGACAATCTATAATAAAAAAACAAATATGGTTCTATGATTAGTTTAAGTAACTGCAGTTGACCGGTTTATCATTACTCATTAGTAATATATCTAGCTTAAAACAAATAAAACTTAGATACAATTTGGTCCGTCGCCGTGATACCTATTTAGTTTCCCTAGCCGTCGTGATACACCGTCTCAGTCGAATGCCGAAATCTCGGCGGCCACACTATTTTAGTATTTTTTGACCACAATAATAATTGCAATTAGTTCCACTTTATGGCTTATTATAAGTATTGTGAGTGCGTATTAGTCATTAGTGTATTACCATCATATTCTATAATATGCTATTATGAGACATGGCCACATGGGTATAGGAATATTATGAAATATGAAATAGGTAGGTACAACTTCTCATATGACAACAAATTGACAGCGTGTTCCATATTTTTGGCAATCTTATAGAATCGAAACTTTTTATCCACCACGATATTTAAATATTATCAAAATCTGAGGAATAAAATATAATATTGTACCATTCAATATAACGGTACAAATATTTGTTTTTCATTCGAGTTTATTCCCATAGGTAGCTGACATATTATACGTTATTCAAACAAACATTTTTGGAATATATATATCTCAGCTAACATAAACAAATTCTACCATCGCTATTCGTCTACCACTATCCTTAATACTTATGCACATATACTACTTAGTAATAACTAATAAGTAACAAATAGCAGTGATTCTGAAGGTTACTTTAATAGATTAAATAATAATTATAAATCTAACATTGAAAATAAGGATTTCTAAATTATTACATATTACTATTTTTCAAATATTTGCCATTAATTTAAAAAAAATACAAGACAGAAATTCCAGCTTAAGCTCACGTGGAACGCATATTAATTAGTGCAGAAGGTCCGTTATTTAATAGACAAGCGAAAGGTTCAATGGCTGATGAAATCTTTAAGATGACTCTTTTGCTATTAAAACTGTTATTTCCTACAGTATTTTATCATTATGCGGATCACAAAAAAATAACTAGGTAACATATTTACGAAAAAATATTTAATTTTGACAATTTTTTTTAAGTTTGAACTTATAATATAGGGTACGCTTGTAAAAATAAAGTAACTTTAACCTGTTTGAATATTTATTAATTGTGGAAAGAACATGTTGCATCTATGAGCACCCTCGTATTAAATTATTTTTAACACATTACACAAAGTGAAATAAATTGAAAATTTGTCTATTTAATTTAATAATTTATATGTATTTTTTTAAATCTATTTATTTGTTTAATCAATCAATAATTATTAATTTGTCCACTCCCTTAATCTCTACATTATACAACATTAAATATTATTCAAATTTCAAGTAGTACCCTACATGATTTTTCATATGGCGGAAAGGGAAATCCATCAAATTATGATTTGGCGGAAAACGGAAAAGTGTATACTATTGGTGATAAGTGGTAGGTAACTCTGAAATCTATGTCGGTATATTATAGCTTTGTGTTATGGCGACAATACCTACGTTGTTATTGTCAATTTAAAGATAACTTATTTTAAAATCAATACATTCCAGACAAAAACAATGTACCATATAAAAAATGTTTATTTACTTTAATTTAGTTAAAAATATAATGAGATCACACACAATTAATTAAAAAATAAAACAATCAACAATGTATCAAATAGTAGAGTAAGTTAGCACATAATATGATCATTGACACAAATAAATTATTATAATAAAATTTCCCGATACCTCAAACAGATAGGCTTTACCAGTCAAACATTAAATAAATAATTTGAATAATAATAAGTATAAATAACAAGTTAATTGTTTTTGTTCATGGCTTCTTGTATCTGAAAATAAAAATTTTTGGACACATTTAAATTATATTACATTATTGACATATGGGTGGCAATAAATGGCGCAACACAATTACACAACAATGTAAATTAAACAAAAGGATTGGAAAAAAAAATTATGCATTCAAATTTGTCACCACTTAATACCAATATACAAAAACATTCATAATCATTAAAGTAAATTAAGAATATTACTTGAATAAAAAATATTAAAATGGTTTATTAAAAAATATTGTTATTACCCTATTAAATCCAATATTAATTCACTTTCGGCAAAACTTTTTGCACTATTAAAGGATAATATTACATTTTTCAACCGTTCCAGATTTGAAAGACCGTTACTATGTGGAATTGTGTTAGTTTTTTTATAATGCACTGACATCAGCATTTTATCCAATACATAATGTAGCCAGTATATATTTGTGGCTGGTTTGAACAATTCCCATTGATCACTACAGGAAAATAATTTAAAGTGTAATTATTTAATTATTTAAGATAATAATGTACTAACATAATGCTTACTTAGTTTCTTTTCTCATCATACGATAAATATCAAATTGATAGTCACCAACTGAAGTAAATAATTCTGTATCTTTAGCAAGGTCATTATATATATGATTGGAATTATATGTCATTCTACTTAAGGTGTAATCAATTATTGTTATCTGTCAAATAAATTAATAGTTTATTTTATTATAATCAGAGGTTTTATATTTGAGAGTATTAAAAGTAGTAAGTTATATAATTTATAAATTTAATTTAGGATAGAACAGAAAAAAAAAATTGGCGTCATTCTATTAAAATATTTGGAGTTTTATGGATAGAAATATGAACCAATCTATAAGTTTTCACCAAAGGCCGAAAATGGGCTAATACATGTATTACGACAGCAATCTAAAAGTAATGTTCATACAATTAACTTGGTATTTCAATGCGGTAAATTCTAATATATTTGGTTGTTTGCAGATACTAGTATTCATAACATTTTAAAAGTTTTATACATTGGATGGACCCTAAGAATTCTTTCTCATTATTTAATTTATTTAAATAATAATAATATTTATTGTTATGGATTTGTATCAACCAAAAATAAGTTTGTACAAACAATGTTTTAAAATATATTAATTGCTGGAAATAGTTATAGGTTCCCTGAGAAAGAGAACTGGGAGAGCTTTTTGATTGTAGGTCACACTTTAATTTTGAAAACAAATGCTAATAACCAACAACAAAAAGAAACCCAAGAAATTATATGACTCTCAAAAACAAATTCACAGGCACTCAATTTAATAAACTGTAATATCCTCAGACTAATACCAATTTGATCAGTGCTCGAAATTGACCGGAACGGCATTCCGGTCAGCTAAAATTAGAATTTAAGAGTTCCGGAATGAAAATAAATTAAATAAATAAAAAAATAAAGAAGATTTTCACTCAGTAGGACGTTTCTGACAGTATCACAATTGTGGCGATAAAAATTATCAAAATTCTTTTTGACAAATAATTTAATGGAGGTCCAATAGGGCTTCACACAATCACAAGTATCATTTATTTATTCCTAAATTCGCAATAATAATGTTATCGATCGAAATGCAAGTACCTACGCTTTAATTAACTTTAATAAAGTCACTATAAAACTACGAAAAAAAGTGACAATAAATTCCAAGCATTGAGGAAATTATTATAAACTCTTAGTTATAGAATATATATTTATATTTTATTGTAAATATTAATTTAAAATGAATATTACTAGTCATACTCCCATAAGGGCATAAGGCATATTAATTTTATAAGCGTTCCAGTTCATACAATTTTCCATTTCAAGCACTTAATTTGATAGCCTACCATACTGTAACTCCAAAGAAACATCATTGTCCATGCGTGAGCCACATCTGTATAATTTACATTTCTCAACAAGAATATTCTTATCATAAGTAAAACTTTTTATCAAATTGTATTCTACCCCAAAAAGATCTATAGTTGTGGATATATTCCAGGCGGCAATGCATAAACTGTCATTTTTTTTTTTATGCAATAATTTGTTATTTATTATTTAATGTTGTATACCTTAATTCCCCGTGATGGTACATTGAAATGTTGACCCTCCAATTCATATGCTATTTTCTTGTTTGAACATTTTTTTATTAAAATGTTACCAATATGTAAATCACGGTGTTCGAACTTGTATTCTTCCTCAGCTACAGCTAACCCAAAAACAATCTGAAAAACAATACACTTACCTATATAAGTTTAAATAAATCAAAATATATAATATATAATACAAAATTAATTATTATATATTTTATCTAGATATATAAAAAAAGCTGGTAAGTGGATTTCGCTCTGCTGTACACAGTTATACCCAAAGGGAGTTGAACAATCACAATTTTTTTTTCTTGGCAAATTCAGCTAGTTCATGATATATATATATAAATATAACTCACTGTTTGCCAACCCCATCAGATTTATTTACTTCAAATGCTAATTATATTACGATATACATACTCATTCCTGTTATTATTATTGTTATTTTGGTTACCACAAATAAGTTTTAAATGTAATTAAACACAATTTCAAATTATGCAAGAATAATATTTTGTTGATTTAAATAGACGTTAATGAAAGTAACATGTTTGTTATAACATACCTGTAAAAATGCAAATAATGATTGATCCGCCGAGTTAAAAATAAAACTTTCTACATCAATACCACCATTTTCCATTTCCAAAATCATAAACATTTGATCCTTTGGCAGTATGTCAGGATTATCATTATCAGAACCTAATTTATAACATGATATTCATACATTATTTAGGAACTTAAAAATAATTTCAATAAGCACATTTAAATAAGTTGTCTTTATTTTAAGTAATATGTTGTGTGGCAAATTTATTTTTATGTTTATAAGGTATATAAAATGGTAAAATGAATATTGGGTATAAAAAATGGCTAACATTTTTTTTATATAGTCTACTATTGATTGATTGATGGATGGATTTGGTCTTAAAATGTTTGCTACAACCCAAAAATGATAGCTAGTTATGTCACCGAAAACAATAATATTATATTAACATCATAAATCTTAAATTAATTTTACCTTTATCATTGTCATATTGTTGCCAGAAATTAATTAAAATTTTAGGATATTTTCCTTGAACACAGGAAACACGTTTAAGTTTACAAAATGAACTTGTTTGATTCAAATTACTTTTGTTCCATAACTTATTCAACTCTGTAGCTATTACAATTTCACTGTAGACTTCAAACATTTTCTTCTGTGGCTCACTATTAATATTCACTTGGCCTTCTATAGGAATGATTTTGACAATAGTACACCGATTTCCACTTGAATAACTAAATACCTCACCATATACGCCTTCTCCAACCTTTTTCCATTTATTTGTATACCTTAAAATAAAAATTCTATAATAATAGACAATAAGACAAACATTATACTTACTTTGTGCTTAACCATGATTCAAAAGATATTAATTCTTTTTGATGACACGCTTCAAAAATGTAACTTCTGGCTTTTTGGTTTTCAAGATCTACACAAATTAATATTTAATAAACTTACATCACCACATTCTAACATTTATTTTATTATTTATATAACTCTTCAAATTATATTCTTATTTTTATAAATAATAAATATTTAATTATTTAATTAAATAATTAAAATTTTCTTTTTTTCTAATGGTTTACAGATTTAACTTATAAAGTGTAGGAAAACTTCATTGTAATGCGCTTAGAAAAAGAATATCTTCCAAGCCAAGTTGAAGTATAATTTATAAGCTAACATGAATACAACAAAATAAACATTTTAATTACCGGTAGAAGTTATTTGAAAGTTTTGGCTGGAAATGCACATTGAATTTTTCGAAATATTTTTTTGATCTAAATTTTGATAAATACTAGTATCTGTAAACAACAAAATATATGACAGCTAATTTTTATTTTTCATAAGGATTTACTATTTCATTAGAATGTGTTAAAAGTTAGAATAATTTGTTATTCAAATAGAATAAATAAATTGCCCATAACATAAAACAACCAAAATGACATTTATTTACCAATAGAAGTTCTGTTCAAGTATCTTTGGCTAAAACTGCACATTGAATTTTTAAAAATATTGCTTTGATTTAAATTTTGATGAACTACTAGTATCTGCAAACAATAAAAATATTAAAATATACAGCATTAAAAAACCAATTTAATTCTATAAACATTACTTATAGATTGCCTTCGTAATATGTCATCAACTGTATAAGCCCATTTTCGTCCTTTGGTGAAATTTATAGATTCATTCATATTTCTGTCCATACAAGCCCGAACAATTGAAATAGAACGACGCCACTTTTTGCCCGGGTCTAAATGAAAAACTGGTGTGTTTTCCTGTGTCAAAATAGTATCTAACTGACTGAACTCTTCAATGACATCCAAGCTTTGAAACCGAGCAGCATATCTCTTCCGCCGCGGCACAAATACAGACTCGTTGGTTTCTAATATGTCATTTGTGTCATTTTCACTATTAGAAATATTTATCTGATTTTTAGTGCTGGTATTTTCTTCACTTTTGTCATTTAATAATTGATTATTATAATCAGCATTTTCTTTTGTATGTAACACATCTATTGTACAGTTTTGTTTATAAATAACAGTATCTTGTTCCAAACTAGATGAACTTTGTAAAATAGAAGAATTATTTGAAATAATGTCAAGTTTGTGGTTTGATGTGTTGAGAGAGATATCTAATGTATGATCAAATTTGCCAAATAAACTTTCATCTCTAATAGAGTTATCACACTGCTCAATTTTATCATCAATTATAATATCAGAAAACTTGGATGTAACATCTAATAAAATCTGAGATTCAGAATCGGGTGTAGAACAATCAAATTGTTCATCTTCAGATTGAAGTCCAATGTTTTCATAATATGGTATTAACGAAGTTTGATTATTTTGAGTATGTGAACTTTGTTTATTATTGTCAATTTGGTCTAATATATTTAGCAATCTAAGATCGAGGTGGTCTGCAGACGATACTTTTGAATAGTCCTGACTTAAACTGTATGAATTACTTGTATATTCTTTTTTTACCTTATTTTGTATCATGGGAGTTGAGTTCTTACATGAAGATTGAGTTCTATATTGATTAAGTTGAAGTAGTTTATAGTCTTCATTGTTGGGTTTATAGACAAAATCTTCATCATTTAAACTATTTACAGATACATAATCAACATTTAGTAACCTACTGTCTTCGATTGCTTTACTTTTATCAAGCTGATAACATGATTCATATGATGAATTTGCACACTTAGACAGATATTTATTGTGTTGACTTGGTTGAGACTCCTCGATAGATGCTTCTTTTATATTGCCACTAGTTATGATGCTATTTTCTCTGTTTGATTTAGAACGATCTAAAGACAACAGACTATGATTATCCTTTCCTGATGAACTTATATTGGGATGTATACATGGTTGACTTGGTTGAGACTCCTCAATAGTTTTTTCTTTGATATCACCAATAATTATGGTACTATTCTCTTTGTTTGCTTTAGAATGATCTAAAGACGATAGACTATGATTATTCATTCCTGATGAACTTATATTGAAATGTTGTAAAGATTGAAATGATATGTTATTTAAATTGGATAATGGTAATGATTGCTTCTGCTGTTCTAATGGCTTCAATTGTTTAATTTCAGAAGTTAAAACTGGTTCAAAACTACATATGTTTATGTGGTCTTCTGGAGTCATAAAATCTTGATTTTTCGATTTTTCCAAATTAATAGATTGTTCATCACACAAAATATTCATAACTTTTTGATACCAAGTTGAGTTTTTTTCTTTTGAGCTAGGAATATTTTTTTTTTTAACTCTACGTAGTCTATTAGGGCTGTTAAAAAGCTGGTTGTTAGATGTACTATTTTCTGAATATTTGTTTTTAGATGGGGGAAAATGAGAACTAGATATTTGAATAGACTCATCAAATGGGTTATTATATTCATAATTTGTTTTCCTTAAAATATTAGAATTTTTTGAATGTGAATGTTCTAGTTGCAAGGGAAGTTTTGAAGAATTAAGAGTATTGACGGCATGCACCAAATTTTTCTTTAATTTACTTTTTTTTGTTTTTTTTGAAGACATACTATTGAATTTGTTACCATGGGCAAATAACATAGATTTTTGTAATGGAGTTGAACATTGTTCTTTAGACAAAATAAATTTGTTTTTTAATTTCTTGATCGAGACTGGTGTAACTCCTATAAAAAAAAAATTATTATATATATTAAAAATGTTACAAAAATTACCTAAATTAATAAATGTTGTATAACTGAAAAAAACTTTGTTTAGATGAGTATAATATGTTATAAAATAAAAAAATAAAAGATTTTCTAATTACTATATCAAAATTTAAATAACACTAAAAAAAACTTTGAGCAATGAATGCAAAATTAAACATATAATGCTACACCAAAATGCACCAGTATATAATAATGAAAATAAAATATCTACTTAAATACATTATATCTTTAAATTTCTTACTGATACACATTTTATCTTTACATCTCCAGATCGCCCAGTGATATAATAAAACCAATGCTATTATAGATAACGACAATTTAGTTGGTTGAGTGTCACTTGTGGTGTATTATAGAATATGTATTACTCCAACAATTAAACTATATTTATAGATTATCATCAACTTTTTTTAAATGCTTATAAAATAATTTTATTGTTTATTCTCAACTGTATTCAATCATATTTTATCTCATACCTTTTGAATTATTAGAAATATTTAAGTTTTCCTTTTTCTTTTGAGCACTTTTTAACAATAGTTTTTTCTTTTTATGATTACTATCTAAATTGTATTCTGTATATCTGAAACACAAATTCAATTATTATATTTATTGATAAGTATCTACATACAAATAATTCAATGTAATCATTGGCTTTAATGCAACTATATATAATATAGAGGATTTAGGGGGGGGGGGCTGCTTATGAGCTGAAGCACCCACTATTCCGCATAATGGATTTTTTATTATTACAAATTACTTAAATATCAGTTATTACATAGAACTAAAAGTATTAATTTTAGTCCACCAACTAATAGGTTAAATTTGTTTTTGACCTGAAGTTGATCATGATAAGTAGGTACTTAAGGAGCTTTATTATCCACATAGCACCCACCATAAAAAATCCTAGATTCGCAACTAACAATAAAAATGTAAAAAAAATATAATACATTAAGTAGGTATACCAACTATAGTCAGTTTCTATATTAAAACAATTAAATTAACAAATAGGTATACAAAATATGTAATAGATCATAGATATGATTTTTTGTAATGAAACAAAGATGTATTATATTATGTATAGTTACTGAATTAAAAATGTCTAACAGTCCCTAATTTATTGTTTTAATAGTTTCAAAGACAACAATTTGATTTAATATTTAAGACATAACTCACCTCTTTTTTGTACTCAAATTATTTCTATGACCATCCAAAGTAGAATGTAATTGCATTGACCATCCACCAACAGAATGCTTCTGATTTTCATATTTTTTTTTATGTTTATCAGGCTTGTACATTGTAACCGAGCCACTTGGTTCAGGTGAAATAAATGTTGTTTGTGGAACATCCTCAATACCCAAACATTTGTCAAACTCATCATTTAAATCATCATTCCACAGTGAATTTCGTCCCAAGAGTTGGGTACGTCTAGGTTTCCCGTAAGTCTTCACAAATTTTGAAGTATTTGATCCTTGTGCCATTTTATTCAGTTTTTTAAACTGCTAATAAGAAAACAATTATAAATACATATTTAATGATTGACTATTGACCACACATTATAAACATATAGGTAAATAAAACCTGACTTATGTATTGTTTACAGTTTAAAAAGTTAAAAACAATTTTTTTTAGATGATATATCTGAACTGGGAGAGTAAGTGAGGTTAAATAAAAAACAAAGAGAATTTCGGTGGTACTGTACACTCACTACACTCTGTGTCATATAAGAGTAACATGATATATATGGATATTTGTTCGGTTTGGTCAGACCACATCTTTTGCTTTAATCAATTTTTTTTATCAGCTTTTGTTCTTAAATGATCGGCCGGGGTAAAAAATTACTTTATCGTATTCATCTTTGCAAAATGCATGAATAACCTGCTATGGCAGAGGTATTCTCACCCTTATTTTCATTTCGCAACTCTTGTATATTATCTTCACATCAGGTATATTGATTCAGAAAAAAATTTAACAATATGGCCATACGGATGATAAAAATTATGCCTGTGACTGTGTATAAAATAAATAGTGGACTGCTCCACACGTGCATGTACAATGCGTCAATAATGCATGATCATAAATAGGTATTAATTATTTTGTTTTTTTTTTGGGGGGGCAAAAATATCAATTTTTTGCCAATCATATTAACTAACCCATCCATCCAAAAACATTGTCTAAAACCATATTCAAATTTGACAAAATTTTAAAATCTAATTTTGATGGGTAAGCAGTTCAATTTCAAAAAAGTGGAAAATTGTTTTCAAGATAACTTCATGACGATGTTCAAACGGGTATGTTTTCAGAAGTTTTATGAGCAACGGTACAGTTGGCATAAGATAAGTAAATTTTGGTAGAAAACAGAGAAGGGATTGAATGTTCGAATCCCCTTAACAAAATAATATTTCCAGTAACAAGCAACAGTCATAATAATTAAAAATAACACACAAGTGAATGAAAAGTAATATCACGTATATAAATATTAAAAGCACGTAATATGACGTTACAGAGTTACACGCCTTACCGATTGATGAATATTTGGACAAGACAATTTACCCTTATTCAAATCATATCACTGAGTGCCTCCGAGTACTTTGTGGCTTGTGCAGTTTAATAGACGACGTTTGTACCATGAACCTTGTACCCGCCACAATATGTAGAGTAATGAGAACAAAGAAGGAGTACAATTAATACGGATAATTTAATAGAAAAAAAAGCTGGACTACCAAGTATCAACTATTGAACTAGGGTACGAGAAATTTAAATAAATTTTGTAAATTGTAAATCAAAATTTCAAAACATTAAAAAACTCAAATCTCAACGGTGAATAGACACTGATAAGAAGTAAATTGTTTAAACCGCGGACTCCGCTTCTGATAACGTCCCGAAATGAGTCGCAATATCAAACGGCCACAGGCTGCGCTGCGGACGCTAGGGTTGCTACTTTAACCCGCGTAGTATAGGGATTATTCATCTTTTTTGAGTTTTTTGGAAAATATATGCATTACTTTGAACCAGTGGCGTCCGCAGGGGGGGGGGGGGCTAAAGGGCTGAAGCCCCCCCCATTGCCCGTATTATTGTTACTTTTTAAAAAAAATATTAATCAAGTTAAACTGTCAACTATAGTAAGCAAGAAGTAAATTTCATATATGTCTTACCAGAATGAATTCATTTTTGAAAGAACATTGTATTTGCATACCAATTTTCATAAATTATCTGTAATTTTTAGGTAAAAGTATGAACTACTTGTATGAAAGACCCTGTATTAAATTGTCTAGCCTTAGCTATATATATTTTATATTTTATAAGTTTTGAACTACAAATTAACTGTCATTTTGACGAAATTTGAACTTTAAATGCTTATAAAAAATAACCATGGTGCCTATGTAGTGTTTGAAGTATGAAATATTTCACAAAAACGTGACACATTGAAATTTTTTTACACAAATAAAAACACAATTTATTTATTTTTTTTACACAATGTTCAGTGTTCTAAATTCTAATGACAGAATTCAGTATTTATACAATATGCATGTATAATATTGTATACCTACTTGTATCATTTAAACATTAAAATATTTAAAAATGTTGAATACCATTTTAAATGTATAATACCAAAGGTTAGGTATACATACAGTTAAGAAGGTAATTTATGACAATTATTTGTATATATAAAACTTATTTAAAAATAAAACAAAATATATCAAAATACTGAAATATTTCCTTTTTTTAAATTTCATGAAATTTTTTCACACTATGCCTATGTATCGTTAATATTTTAGCTATAAAAAAATAACTTACGTATTACATTTTTAAGATTTTTGACCGGATAAATAATTTTTTATTGACATTTATAGAAAAAAAAATTGAATTATTCAAATACAATCCAAGTGAAGACGGTATAACCAAACATTTAAATAAATTTTCATTTTTTTTTCTCCAATTATTTTTAAAAGCACTGAGCATTTTCAATTTCGACCTCCTAAAAGTACAAACTAGATCCAATTTGCTTTCAAAAACATACACTGGGCATCGAAGCTTATGATCAGAGCATTTTTTCTACCAGAAAAGTTGAAAAGTTACAAACATTTTAAAATACCTCAAATAAACATCAGAAATTATTAGACTGTACAAAATAAAAATGTAACTAATTTTCAAGCCCCCCCCCCCATTGAAAAATCCTGCGGACGCCACTGCTTTGAACCATGAGTCCATGACCCTCTTTACATTTTATAGCTTATACGATTACGCATTTATACACGTCAGCTGTACAATGCAAAAACACAGTAACCAACACTTTTATCAAAAGTAACTTTTATACATAATCTTTGGTAACTCTTCATGCTGAATTTTTCTGTCCAAAAAACTTTGAAATCGCACTATTATTTCAGGAGTTATCAAATTCTGAACACATAGCAATTACACAGTGTTAGGTCTGAAATAATTTACTTAATTAATTATAATGCAAAATAATGAAAAACTGTGTTACTGTGTTTTGAAATTGTACAGCTGACGTGCATAAACATGTTATTCAAGAAACAAATTTGAGTGTGACAATACATAATGTATTGGCATAGTAGGCACATCGGTAGGCAGTCCTGTAAAGAATATTTTTAAAAAGTACTTGAGTAGATACTCAAATACATTTTTTTTAGTATTTTAGATACTACTCAAATACATTAATTGTATAGTATTTCAAATACTTTTCAAATACTTTTGGTTTTTAAAGTGGGTTTCTAATTATCGTAATACAAACAGTAGTAGGTCATTTAATAGTTATAGTTTAAAGGGAATATTGTTATTCAATATCTATTTTTAGAAATCTGGTTTTCACAAACCATCGGGCTACGCCTAACACAGAAATACAAAATATTAAATAAAACTATTATTCTATTATTGTAGTTGACAATAATTTTTTTCCAACCAATTATTTCGAATAAAAATAAAATGTTCGAAATAAAAAACCAAAGTATTCAATACCAAAAAGTATTTAATACAAAAAAAAGTATTTAAAATACTATTCAAAATACTTCATGCTGACAGTATTTAAAAAGTTATTCAATACTTAAAAAAGTATTTGAATACTTTTACTTAAATACTTTACAGGACTGTCGGTAGGTATAAAACTATAAAACAATCGTTCAAGAAAACACGTATATTATATTATTAAGTATGGTGTATCGAATAGTATCGGGCAAAGACTTTCTCTGAACAAAAATATATAGGTATAAAATAACTAGATGTAGTATTAACGGATTGTATAATTTAGTTATTTACACAAAAATAAAAATAATATTTATGTGTATACCTACGTTTTTTCATGTGAGCGGCTGTACGAGTTTGGTCTCCTTATTCTATATAGTCTTCATGGTTAGAATCCAACTTGGTTTAAACTTTTAATTATCTCTACGACAGGAGTGTTTCGGGCAAAGAGTAATATCACAGTAATATAATATCGCTATAGCATTGATTTAAGGAGAATCATTTAGGCAATTTCTAATCTCGTCGTCGCCACCCGAGATCTATGTGTTAGTCGTAAATGATTATTAATGTAATAATGTGTTATTCTAATTACAACAATACGTTGCAACGACTCCCTCGATTTGCATTCTGACAAAATATTCTTTTTTTCCACAACATATACGAGGGATCGATCGAGGAAAATGTTTAATATTGTATTTAGTTGATTAAATATTTAAGTTGGAAATTCTGATTATTTTTGAATTTTTCACAATTTCTATTGCAATCTAAATTGCAAAAATTAAAAATATTTCTCGATCGTTCCCTTCAGGGGCGGAGTGGCCGGTCTGGAAATGGGAATTTTCCAGATTGCCTGGACCATACTATGGCCTGGTGGCCTGGAAATTTTGTTAGATTTTTTTTTAATTTAAATTAATTTACAAAATATTAGTTAATGATAAATGCATCAAAAATTTGTTTCTATTAAATTATTGTATTAGGTACAAATATTATTAATGAAATAATAGTAAATTGTAATAGCCTCGTACAATCGTATACTCTTATGAGAAATCTTTGGATATAAAATTACAAAATATTTGGTACATAAATATAGATATCAAATAAAATCAAAGCAATATAATATTTATATAGGTCGATTATTTTTATAAAAAAACACCCAGATAGTGTGTGGTCTCGGTTCAATCCAACAGAACTAATTACCTTCTAAGAAATTATAAATTACTGATTCGACGCATTTCCACATGTTGAAACCTGCAAGTTGTTTATTTGTACCCTGCAGGGCTGTTGAGTGGCGACGAATATAGCAATGCCAAATGGCTAATAATAACTAATAATACCATTGATTATAAGTACTACTAATGTCTAATACTAGTACTTTGTATATTTGATAAAAATCAATGGTAATACATTAATACATATTAATTTTGTATTATTGGTCAGTTTACTTTGGTCATTGTTATTTTTATAAATAATATCTGTAATAAACCCAAACAAATTAGTCATT